CCCAGAGAGGCTGTGGATTCTCCCTCACTGGAGATGTTCCAGAACCATGTGGACACAACCCTGAGCCATGAGCTCTGGGCTGGCCCTGCCTGAGCAGGGAGGTGGGACGACCCACTGTGGTCCCTTCTAACCTCACTGATCCTGTGTGGGAGGTTTGACTCCAGTGGAGGTTTTGGATCTTACTCATTGGGAAAACTTACACCCAGGACAGCAGGAGGTTTGTCATTGCTTGAAATCTCAAGTAACACTTGGCCGCCTCTTTCCACCTCTAGTATTGGTCACACAGGGATAGAGGAGTTGGTTGATGGGTAGGACCTAAGGAATCATTGAGGATGGAAAATACCTCCAAATCATTGAGTCCAACCTGTGACCCATCACTACTTTGTCATGTAGAGCAGAGCACTGAGTGCCATGTCCAGTCATGCCTCAGACACTTCCAGGGATGGTGACTCCACCACCTCCCTGGGCAGCACATTCTAATGCCTGACAGCCCTTTCCATGAAGGAATTCCTCCTGAATATTGACTTCTTCAGTACCTGACCGTCAGGATGGTTCCTTCTGCTCTGAAAGTCTGTGAAGGTATCAGGAGTGGTTAATCCTCAGACATGGGTGATGAATGGTCACATTCTAATAGCTCCTCTTGTTTTAGGAAGCTCCAAGTAGCAGAGAACTTCCTTCCTAGAGAGGTGGAAACTTCCACATCTGGAGAGCACTTGGTGGTCAGAGAGAGGTGGAAACACCCAGAATTGTTGGGGTATACTCTTAGCACTTGAGTGCTGAGACACTCATCTGCTCTGCTACAGATCCTGGTTGTCCTGCTCAGATTCTGTTTCTTCTCTATCAGTAATATCCCAACTCATGGCCAGGAACTCATTGCACTGAGCTCTCTATTCTCCAGAAGCTCCTGGTGGATTTGGGCACTGTTCAGAGCTTTGTCTGAGGTTTAGCAAGTGCCTCTTTGTGAAACCAGATGCTTTGCAAAAGCACTTGACACAAATTTCCGTGGCTGTTGAAAATAGGGATCACTAAAGCTAATATTCTCCTTCCAAGCACACCCAGAAGCTCAGACTTCAAAGGGCAAAGCTGAACTTCTTTGGTTTAGTGCTCAAAGACAATCTAGTTTTGCAAATGTGTCTATTAGGTAAGTCACATGGAGCTCCTGCTCCTGGTTTAACTTCAAAAAGAGATGTTTGGCTTGAAAGTAGCTGTGTCTCCAACATGGAACTGTTGGAGCAAGAGCAGAGGAGACCACAAAGTTGCTAAGAGGATTGGAGCAACTTCCCTGTGGAGACAGGTTGGGAGAGTTGGGGCTGTTGAGCCTGGAGAAGAGAAGGTTGTGTGGAGACCTCAGAGCACCTTCCAGGAGCTGAAGGGGCTCCAGGGAAGCTGCAGAGGGATCTGTGTTAGGAGCTGCAGGGACAGGACAAGGGGCAATGGGCACAAATTGAAGGAGGGAAGTTGAGGTTAGATGTTAGGCAGAAGCTTTGCCTGTTCTGGTGGTGAGACACTGGCCCAAGTTGCCCAGGGAGGTCATGGTGGAGTCACCATCCCTGGAGGTGTTCCAGAGGTGTCTGGATGTGGCATTGGAGGATCTGGTTTAGGGTTTGGGAGTTCCAGCAGTGACAGGTTGGACTTGATGCTCTTAGAGATCTCCTCTGACCTTGCTGGTTCTGTGATTCTCTGCTAGTACAACAATTCAGTGGCACTCAATGACTTGGTTGAGCTCTTACCAACTGGCAATTTGAGCACATCCAGGAGCCTCCCTAGGTACATCCTTTGTTTGAATGATTTCCACACTGGTCAAACCTTTTGTAGCTTTGATATAAAACAAGTGGAATGACAAAGATCTGTTGCCATCCATAAAACCAGTTGGATCTATTGTGGAGGAATTCCAAGTATCCCTTGTTAATCCTCACGCACAGCTAATAAGGGCAGGCAGGGGCTCTTTAATATCCTATTTATATCAGCATCTGTCCCAAAGCAGTCCCTGATATCGCTGTGTTTATGGCCCCTCCTGGCAGTGTGTAGCGTGCAGAAAGAGGAATCAGAGCCGGGGGAAAGTCAACTCCATTAATCTTTCCAAGAGAAAACATGTCACATGTAATATCCTTGAGTTGCATCACCATCTGGTTGTTTTTCTGAAGGCCTTGGAAAGGATCCAGCACATGGTAAGGCTGCAGGAGCTGGAACCTGCTCCCTGAGATGGATCCTGCTGCTTGCTGGGTCACAGCTGGGGCTGGACGCTCCAAAAACTCAGCTCTTGCTCAGGTGCCCAGGGAGGTGGTGGAGTCACCATCCCTGGAGGTGTTCCAGAGGTGTCTGGATGTGGCATTGGAGGATCTGGTTTAGGGTTTGGGAGTTCCAGCAGTGACAGGTTGGACTTGATGCTCTTAGAGATCTCCTCTGACCTTGCTGGTTCTGTGATTCTCTGCTAGTACAACAATTCAGTGGCACTCAATGACTTGGTTGAGCTCTTACCAACTGGCAATTTGAGCACATCCAGGAGCCTCCCTAGGTACATCCTTTGTTTGAATGATTTCCACACTGGTCAAACCTTTTGTAGCTTTGATATAAAACAAGTGGAATGACAAAGATCTGTTGCCATCCATAAAACCAGTTGGATCTATTGTGGAGGAATTCCAAGTATCCCTTGTTAATCCTCACGCACAGCTAATAAGGGCAGGCAGGGGCTCTTTAATATCCTATTTATATCAGCATCTGTCCCAAAGCAGTCCCTGATATCGCTGTGTTTATGGCCCCTCCTGGCAGTGTGTAGCGTGCAGAAAGAGGAATCAGAGCCGGGGGAAAGTCAACTCCATTAATCTTTCCAAGAGAAAACATGTCACATGTAATATCCTTGAGTTGCATCACCATCTGGTTGTTTTTCTGAAGGCCTTGGAAAGGATCCAGCACATGGTAAGGCTGCAGGAGCTGGAACCTGCTCCCTGAGATGGATCCTGCTGCTTGCTGGGTCACAGCTGGGGCTGGACGCTCCAAAAACTCAGCTCTTGCTCAGGTGCCCAGGGAGGTGGTGGAGTCACCATCCCTGGAGGTGTTTCAGAGGTGTCTGGATGTGCCACTGGAGGATCTGGTTTAGGGGTTCCAGCAGTGGCAGATTAGTGGTTGGACTTGATGATCTTTGAGGTCTCCTCCAACCTTGATGGTTCTATGATTCTACTCCACACACTGCACATGGGTTTGGAAAAGAGAAGCTTTGAATTCACCTTTCTGGAAGCATCATAAGATTGGCTTCAGCAGATGCTGAACATCTCCTGGGCTTGAGGAATATGATGTCAGATAAGTGTCGTGAGTCCTTTGCAGGCCAAGCATCTTAGAAAAGAGACAAGTTAGAGCCATCCTGAGAATTTTTAGGCTGTCTTGAATAGTTGGATGTCATCTGGTTTTATTCCAAGAGGCAAAGCTGACACAAGGGTGTTCAGGCACTGGGATATTGCCCAGGGAGGTGGTGGAGTCACCATCCCTGGAGGTGTTGAAGAGGTGTCTGGATCTGGTGCTGGAGGATCTGGTTTAGGTGTTAGAGCAGCAATAGGTTAATGGTTGGACTTGATGACCTTAGAGGTCTCTCTCAACCTTGATGGTTCTATGATTCTGTGTTTTATTCCACTTTAAGTGAGAAGTTTCCATCTGATCCCATAGTGCTTCTGCTGGAAGTGATTTGGGATTGCTTGGACCCTCCTGGTGTGGTGGCTCTGTAGGATTCCAGAGTGGCTCTTTGCTTGGATTGAGGCTCTGTCATCCTATGGAATCTTGGTGCAACACCCCAAGGCTGTCTGTGCTCCTCAGGGAGCTGCATGTGGGGATTGGGTACATGAGGACTTGGAGCAAGTGCAGAGGAGGCCACGAAGTTGCTCAGAGGGTTGAAGCATCTCCCCTGTGAGGACAGGCTGAGGGAGTTGGGGCTGTTAAGCCTGAAGAAGAGAAGGTTGCGTGGAGACCTTAGAGCACCTTCCAGGAGCTGAAGGGGCTCCAGGGAAGCTGCAGAGGACTCTGTGTTAGGAGCTGCAGGGACAGGACAAGGGGCAATGGGCACAAATTGAAGGAGGGAAATTGAGGTTAGATGTGAGGCAGAAGTTTTCCCTGTTCTGGTGGTGAGACACTGTCCCAGGTTGCCCAGGGAGGCTGTGGCTGCCCCAACCCTGGCAGTGTTCACAGCCAGGTTGGCTGAGCCTTGAGCAACCTGCTCTGGTGGGAGGTGTCCCTGCCCAGGGCAGGGGTTGGGGCTGGGTGATCTCTAAGCTCCATTCCAACCCTTAAAATCTGCGAATTTAGCATTTGGAGTGAGAAGAACTTTGCGTTGTGCTCTATCAGCTGCACCTCCAGCAGCTAACCTCTCCCCCTGCACTGGGCGGCAAACAGATGCAAACCCCAGAGGCTCAGAAGCTCCAAAGCCTAATAACATTGAGTTTTTTTCCCTCCTGTCTGTCGAAAGATTCACTTGCAGAGCCCTAACATCTCTCTCTGCCGTGCCTGGAACAGATGTGTGTGTTGTAATATGGACTGTGAACATTGCCATCCCATGTGCTTCTCATTCCTCCCAGGCAGCTTTGAAGCTAATTGCTTCCAGGCAGCCCCAAAATGTGCAGGGTTGGCCACAGCTATTTGTACTTTCACTCTGGTTATGGCACTGATGGTGTGAGAGAGAGAACATGAAATAAACTCTCGTGACTCCGAGGGCTGCAGAGGCACAGCCACAGCTCTCACGTCTCACTGGGGTGGGGTGGGGTGGGATGGGCTGAGGTGCCTAAATGGCTTTTGTTTCTCTTCTCTGCAAGAGTTAGCACAGAGTCAACCCATCAGTCAGGTTAGAAGGTCCTTTCCAACTGAACCCACCCTGTGTGGCTCTGATATTTGGGCTTCTCTCAGCTGGGAGCATTCCCTGCATGGAGCACTGATACATCCATTGTCCACTTGGCAATGGAGATTTTTCTCCAGTGAAATGATCCCTGAGTTTCACTTGTTGTCTTTTCTTCCCTTTGTAGGTCCAAGTTCAGTGAAAAACAAGAAAAAGGGTAAGTTTGACTTTTAACTTTAATGTTCCGTTCTGTGCTTTGTCACCTGCTGGGAGTTCTCTTTGGCCAACAGGAGGAACCAACAGCATGTTCCTTCTCTGGGAAGGGCAGGGATAACACCCCTGAGCATCTCTTAAAGTGTCCTTACACACTGAGGGAAGTGAATTATGGTGTAGAAGTAAATAGTTGATGGGGTTGAGTCAGGTTTCACCATCAGGAGCTTCTTTGCCTTCTTGGCTTTCATCCTCATCCTGCCAACCTGCTGATGGGATCTCCTCCCAGCCCACCAAACCCAATGGAGAGACACTCTGCGTCCCACTGTTCCTTGTTTTAACCTCAGGATGATCATTTTGTGAGCCTGTTCTGAGCATTGCACAGCCACAGGGACCTTGTCTGGCTTGAGGCTGTTCCTCAGGGTCTGCAGTGAGGAGCTGGATGGCTTCTAACATGCTTATCATGGCTTAGTGGGATTTGGGTTCTTCCAGAGGCTTCATGGGGTGCCTGACACCATCCTTGTTCGTGTAGTGCTCCTGGAGAACACTTAGGGTCACACACTTCTTCCCAGGAGCTTCAGGGAGTTGAAGGACCTGAGTTGCTTCATAAGCTTCACCTCTGCAGTCTCAGTTCCAGGGAGATGTAACCAATGAGCTGTTTTTTCCTCCCCGTAACCATCCTGAGAATGCTTTAAAGGCTGTGGCACGTGCTTGCAGCAGGTTGTAGGTTATGAGTTAGAGGCTCCACCAGAGCGTGAGGAGTTTGGCTCATGGAGACACCACTGACTGCAGCACCTGCTCCTGGCTGAGCTCTGACTGCTGCAGTGGCAACTCTGGGTTTACTCCCTGTTGTAACTGATGTGGGTTTAATGAGCAGAACAGCTCAGCTCGTTGCTGTGTCCCTCAAGAGCCTTTCCTGCTCCAGCCCAATGTCCTCACCAGCAGCAGCAGGAGCAGCTCAGCCCTCCATGTCTGTGCTACTGGAATAGCACATCCAGTCCCTCTAATCCTTGGGTGCAAACTGCAGATTCACAGCTGAGAGGTGGAAACAAGCCACACACAGTGACTTTTTTTTTTAATTTACTTTGAGAAGTTTGTCCTCACAGAGCTCTGGAAGCCTCAACCCATGTTCAATCAGCACAACTAATAGCAACTGTGGCTTTGGGAGCAGTTCTGGAGGAGCTCCTAGAGCTCTAGTACATACAGCTGGATAAAACAGCTTCATTTTCTGGTACTGGCACATTTAGTAGAGTCAGAGTTCATTGTGTGATGAGCAGAGATGGAGGAGAACTCATGGGTTTGGCCTACTGTGAGTGTCAGAGCTTGGTACATGGGTAGAGACCCCAGGAGATGTGACAGGGTGGCACTTGGGTGTTGGGACCCTCCCTGGGGAGCTGAGAGATGCTCTGGGATCCCCTCAGACAACAAACTGAACACCTTTTGCCCTGTGAGCTTAGCCAGTGAGCGTTGTTGGTGCAGAGAAGTCGCTGAGATGACCTGCAGGAGGGAAAGGCACAGCAGATGTGTCTCTGAGCAGCATCAGGACAATGTGCTCAGCCAGCAGCTCCCTTAGGAGCAGAGCACATTTCCGAGCTAAAGCAGCTGGAATTTGGATCCCTCTTGGGAAGGGAAGCCAGGAATGACAGCAGCAGCATTCCCTGTGTGTGATCCCATGGCCTGGATGGGAGTGAGAGGAGATTCCTCAGTGTGTTAGGTTAAATAGGTGCTGAGTGTGATTCGAGGTGCTCAGCCGGCAGTTCCTTTAGGAGCAGAGCAGATTTCCAAGTTAAACCAGCTGGAATTTGGATCCCTCTTGGGAAGGGAAGCTAGGAATGACAGCAGCAGCATTTCCTGACTCTGATCCCATGGCCTTGATGGGAGTGAGAGGAGATTCCTCAGTGTGTTAGGGCAAATAAGTGCTGAGTGTGATTCGAGGTGACCATTTCCAAGCCATGTCATCACCCCGAGGAGGAGGAGGAGAGCTGGATTAGGGAAAGTCTGGATTGTGACCAGCTGGATGGGAAGACACAGCTGCTCCTCTGGGTGGGAATACAGCTGCAAAGATTTGTCCCTTGAAGCCTTTGCCACCTGTTTGTAGGACACCAGTGGCACTTTCATCACCCATTTGCACCTTAACTCACTGTTCTGCTCCCACACTGATGTCCATGTGCCCTTGTCCATGGCTAGTGGCCACCCAGACATTCCCAGCTCTGTGCTAACTCCAACAGATGGATTTTCCCTTCCTGGTTTGTTTCCATGACAAAGCTGAATATCAGCAGAGCAACAAGTCCAGAAATGTCCTCAGAAACTCTTCCAATAATCATCATTTCATCTCCCAACTGCTGCTCTCATCTCAACAAGTGTTTCACTCTGCCCTGCTGGGACTGGGGGCAGCAGTGGAAGAGAATTTGCTGTGTTTTTGCTCTTTGGCATAAAAACTTCTGCAAACTGACATTTAAAATGACACCAAACGGTCATTATTTCTGCCAGGGATCTGGGAAACCGGGAGATCATGGGCCAGGCTTCTCCCCAGGCCTTGTGTCAGTCCACTCTGTGTCTGTAGGGTTGTCACTCATGTGGTTGTGCCGTTTCTCCTCCTGCTGAGGTGTTTGACGGTCATTTTGAGGAAGGATTTTTTTCACCAGGAGGGTTTTTTTTTACCACAGGTTGCTCAGAGCAGCTGTGGCTGCTCCATCCCTGGGAGTGTTCCAGGCCAGGTTGGATGGGGCTTGGAGCAACCTGGGCTGGTGAGAGTTGTCGCCGCCCATGATCTTTAAGTCTAGATGGTCTTTAAGGTCCTTCCAACCCAACCCAGTGTGTGAGTCTAAAATCATGGCAATTCTCCAGTGCTTTCCTCCTCCTGATGGTGTGGAGCCACAGGATCTCCATCCCAGCTCTCTGGGGGCTTCTCCTCATCCTTCCAGTGAGGAGCCATCCCCAACCTTCTGCTGCCCTGCAGGTGAACGACCACCTCACCCCTGCAGAAGGTAACCCCTGCCCCTCTGTTTTTCAGGGAAGAAGGCTGGTCCTCCAGGGCCCAACGGACCCCAAGGGCCACCAGGTCCTCCTGGGCCACAGGGTCCCCCTGGAATTCCTGGAATCCCTGGGATTCCTGGCACAACTGTCATGGGACCACCTGGACCGCCCGGCCCGCCCGGCCCTCAGGGACCACCTGGAGTGCAGGGACCCTCAGGTGAGTGCTCTGCGCCCTTCTCTGCTTGGCTGTGCCCTCCAGGGCAGCAGGAGATGCCACCAGGCACCCTGGCTGCACAAGGGAATGTGAAGGAACAAGTAGGTTCCACATTTCCACCTGGGGAGGGTCTGGATGTGATGGCACAGCATTCCTGAGCAGGACTCAGGTGTCCTGGGCAAGGTTGGATGGGGCTTGGAGCACCCTGGGCTAGTGGAAGGTGTCCCTGCCCATGGCAGGGGGGGGGTGGGATGGGCTTTGAGGTCCTTCCAACCCAAACCAGTCTGGGATTGCATGATTCTTTGCATCTGGACCTGGAAGGCACAGGGAAACTTGTCACCTTGGCCTCAAGAGGTTTTATTGCCTCTGTGGCTCAGGGAAAGGCTTGGGAAATTTCCCTTCTAGTGGAAACTGCTTGAATAAGTGGAGAATTTTTGATAGTTAGACATAAATGTGGGAATAAAATAAGGAAATGGAGGAGGAATATTTTTATTCCTTATGTATTTTATGTACTTAAATTTGTAATGCTTATGTTGGATATGTTTTAATATTACCTGTACCCCAAACTGCTGCTGGTGTGAAAAATGGGGGTTTAATGGCTATTATGGGATGTGAGAAGGGTTATTTATGTGGGAGTTTAGTGGTTGTTGTGGGGTGAGAGAAGGTTTATTTCTCTGGGGGTTCAGTGGTTATTATATAAGCTGTTTGTGTGGGGGTTAATGGTAATTATGGAGTCAAATTAGTTATATTTAGATGGGGATTTAGAGGTTCTTATAGGTCAAAATAGTTAACATATCTCTGAGGGTTTAATGGTAATTATGGGGCAAGTGAGGCTGCATTTCTGTGGGATTGAATGGTTGTTGTGTAACAAGAGGGTTATTTATGGGTTCCTTTCCTCTCCAACCCTATGAAATTGCCTTTTGCAGGTGCAACAGACAAGGCAGGCTCCAGAGACAGCCAGGTGAGTTGATTTTTTTCCAGGGAAAACCCACCTTTGAAGGGCATTTTGGAGATCACCAGCAAATGCAGTTGCTGCTGTTGTGTTTGATGGTGTAACTGTGGTAAAACATCCTTTTCTGCATGTTTTTAACCATAGCTACATAGAGTGGCTGAGCTCACCCTTTTATGGCCTGTGTTGGTCTTGCTTGGGTCCTCAACTCTTCTCTGGTGCTTAGCCATGTTGGTGTTGGCTGCTCTGATCTTTCTCTCATGTGTGAGGAGCCTCGATGCTCTGGAGGTGCTGTCACACCTCAGGATGGGTCCCCAGGATGCAGAGGTGTGCTGAGTGATTCCCACTGATCTTCCATCCCTCTGCTCTCCTTTCAGCCAGCTGTGGTTCACCTCCAAGGCCAAGGCTCAGCAATCCAAGTGAAGAATGGTAAGGATCTCTTGATATTGCTGGTTACTGGAAAGGGCCCATCCTGCACCTGTGGTCTTGTATCCAGGTCTAATTCCATCCCATATCACAGCCCCCAGATCCTCCCTGTGCTCATAACCTCATATCTGGGTCTAATTCCATCCCATATCTCAGCTCCAGATCTTCCCTGCACCCATGGCCTTGTATCCAGGTCTAATTCCAGCCCATATCACAGCTCCCAGATGTCCACCAACTCCCTGGGCAATATCCCAGGGCCTCAACACCACAACAGGGAAAACATTTCTCCTCACATCCAGTCTGACTCTGCCCTGGCTCAGATCAAGGCCATTCCCTCTGTCCTCTCCCTGCAGCCCTGGCAGGACAGATATCCCCCACCTCTCTCCAGCCCTGGCAGGCAGTTGTAGGAGTCTTGAGGTCACCCCTGAGCAGATCTGTGCCCCCCTGGGTGTTTGCCCTTGCAATGTGTCTGTGTTTGTGCCTTTCCTCTGACGGGTACTGAGTGACTGCCATTCTCTCATACTGAGATCTTTCAGGTGGAGTCCTCAATGACTGGTCTCGAATCACCATGAACCCCAAGGTGTTTAAGCTTCATGCCCGCAGTGGGGAGCTGGAGGTACTGGTGGACGGCACATACTTCATCTATAGTCAGGTAGAAGTGAGTACGGTCCTAGGCTAACTCCTATTCTCGTGTTCCCGTGGAAGCCTTGCATGAACCACGAGAGGGCTCCAGACACCTCCCGATGCCAACTCTGTGTGCTTGTCACTGCTGCAGCTCTAGAGGGAGGAAGACTAAGAGTTTTACACACATTTCACCAGGATATCAGAGAGTTTTAGGGATTGGAATGGAGCTTAGAGATGATCGATCCAGCCCCAACTGCTGCCCTGGGCAGGGACACCTCCCACCAGAGCAGGTTGCTCAAGGCTCAGCCAACCTGGCTGTGAACACTGCCAGGGTTGGGGCAGCCACAGCCTCCCTGGGCAACCTGGGACAGTGTCTCACCACCAGAACAGGGAAAACTTCTGCCTGACATCTAATCTCAATGTCCCCTCCTTCAATTTGTGCCCATTGCCCCTTGTCCTGTCCCTGCAGCTCCTAACACAGAGTCCTCTGCAGCTTCCCTGGAGCCCCTTCAGCTCCTGGAGGGTGCTCTGAGGTCTCCACACAACTTCCATCACTCTCAAGAGATTGGTTCCCAACCCCCATGCAGATTCCATCCCATCCCACACCCACCAATGCCCTTTTTGAGCCCTCCAGTTGTCTGTGCAGCATTGACCAGCCCATTTTGAAGCCAGGTCACTCTCCGAAGTGTAGGACTCTCAGCACAGGTGCTTTGGGCAAAGTCCAGCCCAGGTAACTCCCTTTTGCCTCACCTCTGTGTAGCTTCATCCCAACATGAAACACCAGGATGGTTCTGCTGCCACTTTGGTTGCTACCAATGATGGATGTTCCCACCTGCTCCTCCAAAAAAGGCTAACAAAGTGGTAATTACTGTGTTCTGACTTAGGGTAGAGCTAATTAAGACTCATTTCCTCTCCCCATCCAAGCAGGAGAAGGATTGTTCTTTCTCTCACTGCTTTGTGCCTCCAGTCAGAGTTGCTCATCCCCATGGAGTGTGAGCCATGGGTTCTGCCCTTCCAGGCCACACTGTGTCCACCCACCTGTGGGCTGAAAAACTCATTCTGGGACAGATTTAGCAAGATAAGAAGCTATTTCTAACCACAATGAAGCAAATTCCAAGCTCCTGATAATCACCTTCTGCTCCTGCCCAGGTGACAGCTCCACTAGGACTTTACCAGGTCAAAACGTGCTGGGAGTGTCAGGAGCTCTTCAGTGGAACTGGTGATGTGTCTGGCTTGGATGGGGACAGGGAAAATAACTCCACATGGGCCAAAGGACCATTGTTTGCCCAGTGCTTAATGCTCATGGTTGGCCACAAGGTTGGACCACTGAAGCCTTGTCATGTGTGGTCCATCAAGGCAGAAAGGGGTTGAGTCTTGTGGCAGGTCACAGAGGTTAGGCTAAGAAGAATTAACCTCCAAAAATGGAAGTTGGATTTCCCCTCTCCCTTGGACTGACTTCTCCTTGGACAGGTCTTCCTCATGCAGTTCCTTGGAATTGGAGTGTGGGAGAGGGTTCAGTGAGGAGCAGTGGAGTCACAAGGACTTTGGGTGCGAGATGAGAGAGTTAAATGAGTAGGAACACTGCAAGGTGTTTTCCTCCCAGGCTGTGGAGGTTGGGAGAGTCTTTTCCCTGCCATAGCTTGTGCCTCTGCAAGCACCTCGAGTCCAGTCACACAGGAGGCAGCTCCCAGTACACCTTAGGGCAGGCCTGGTGTCACCACTAAAGGAGGCTCATGGGACCAGGAGCAGGACTGGCCAGGTAAGTGAAAGAGGACCTCAGTCACATCTGTCTGTCTGTCTGTCTGGAGCACACAAGGAGCTCTGCAGGTCTCTGCCACCTGTGCAGGTGTGTCCTTGTCCCTGTGATGAGCAGGAGTTAGAGCTCAGCCTTAGACACATGGATTCAGGGATATTTGCATGTCTGGAGTGGAATGGAGGAGGATCCTGGTTGGCTTGGGGTTCTTCAGCCTCACACAAGTCAACTTCTTTGAGCAGAGATGTGCCAGAGAGGTTCTTCAGCTTCACACAAGTCAATCTTCTGTGGGTAGAGGGTGTGCCAAGGAGGTTCTTCAGCTTCACACAAGTCAATCTTCTGTGGGTAGAGCTGTGCCAAGGAGGTTCTTCAGCCTCACGCATGTCAACCTGAGGTGTGCCAAGGCCAAGGAGAAGGGCTGGTTAGCCAAGGAAGGGCTTGTTAGGCAGGGAACACCCTGACAGGAGTGTGGCCTTGCTCCCTGTGCACCACCACCCACCCTAACCCCTTTCTCCTCCCCTCCCCTCAGGTATACTACATCAACTTCACAGATTTTGCCAGCTATGAGGTGGTGGTGGATGAAAAGCCCTTTCTGCAGTGCACTCGGAGTATTGAGACTGGCAAGACCAACTTCAACACCTGCTACACAGCTGGGGTTTGCCTCCTCAAAGCCAGGCAGAAGATTGCTGTGAAGATGGTGCATGCTGACATCTCCATCAACATGAGCAAGCACACGACTTTCTTTGGGGCCATTCGCCTAGGAGATGCACCTGCATCCTAGAGAGGAGCTTGTCATGGCCAAGGAGACTCAGAGAACTGCCCAGTGCTGCTGTTCATAAGCCTATCAGTATTTCAGGGGGTTCTGTAATCCAGCCATAAAGGAAACTGATCCAGAGCTATTTATTCCTAGCTGTGAAATGCAGGAAGCACAATTGTCCTCTGGGACTTGCATGGAGACTTGGATCCAAACCAACCCAAAAAAACAAAGCCTGGTGAGGAAGGAAAAGCTCTCGTGGCTGCCTTGTCTCAGTAGTTCAAGTATTACTGCACTGATCCTCTGCTCTGTGATCTCCACATGAGGCTTGTTGGGAGAGCTCTGGGCTCTGCTTTTAGGTTGCACTAACAAGAGCATCCCAGGTGGGAGCAGGAGAAGTCAGGCTGCTGTCCCAGTGATCCCAGCCAGGCACTCCTGCTTCTGCATGCTGAGAGTAAGGAAGGGCCTTCCTGGGTTTCTGCCTTCCCGGTGGGATTGGAATGGCCTCGGGCTGTAAGGGGAGGAGGAGGGTGAGAGAAGCCAGTGGTGTTTACATTCATCCTCAGGAGAGCAAGCAACAAAGGCCTAAGTGCCTCCACCTAGAGCTTGGAAGCAGGAAGAGGGAGAGGAATCTTTCCTAGAGCTTTAGCACATAGGAAAGTGCCTCCACATTCCAGAAATCCCCAGGAAACCACCAATTCCCAGGTCCAACCCTCTGCTCCTGTCAGCTCCTGCCCTTACCCCACTGGGGGTGCCTGAAAGTACTGCTGCTGTTTCCAGCAAGTTGTGTTTGGCTGGGGGTTGTTTTCACTTTGGTTTTGGTTTGGTTTTTTTTGGTGGTTATTTTTTTTTTTTTTGGTTCTTCTTAAGGAGTAGTTGGCAAGCCAGAACACACCATGTCTACAGGGCTTCACTGAGGGCCACACAGAGCAGACACAAGTCCTTGTGGGAACCACTTGGAGGAAGTTTGTCATGTTTAAGAATAAAATATTCAAACAGGAAATTTAGATTGATTTTTTTCTCTTTTTTTAATAGCAGTTCTTCTCATTTAGATGTGGGATTTTTAGGCTTTCCTCCCCCCCCAACCCCTTTTGTTTGGCACCTAAACCAAGTGGTGATGGGAGAGGGTTGAAAAATGGTGGTTTTTACATCTGCTCCAGCATGAAGTCACCACTTTTTCTTTTCTCTGAGCCCTGCTGAGTCTAGTCATAACTCGATTTCTGGGGACTATAATAGAAGAGTTGGGACACTATTGTTTCTTTTGGCTTCTTGAGCAACTCTGGGCTGTTCCCTCCCCTTGGCCGGGGAGACCTAAAGCCTCCAGATGTGCCTGAGCCATGGCAGAGGCTGAAGTGCTAATTGCTCTGTTGTGTCAGGCTCCTGCTCCCTCCTCCTGCCCAGGGGTTTGTCCCTGCGATTCTGTGCTCAGCCTGGGTTTGCTTGGAGAGGGAAGTGAAGTCACAGCCTGGGAAGCAAATTGGGTAAGTCCTGAACTGACATGGAGAAGGGAATGCTCTGAGGAGAGCTTAGAGCACCTTCCAGTGCCTAAAGGGGCTCCAAGAGAGCTGCAGAGGGATTTGGGATGAGAACATGGAGGGACAGGACACAGGGAATGACTTCAAACTGACAGAGGGAAGGTTAGATGGGATACTGGGAAGAAATTCCTCCCTGTGAGGTGCTGAGGCTCTGGCACAGGTTGCCCAGAGAAGCTGTGACTGCTCCATCCCTGGAAGTGTTCCAGGCCAGGTTGGATGAGGCTTGGAGCAACCAAGGAAGGTGTCCCTGCCCATTTGTGGTCCCTTCCAAGCCATTCCATGAGGTCAGTGATTGCTCCACCTCCACACAGAGGTGGCTCAGCCATGGTCACCTGCAGGAACATGGGGAGGGACATGTCCCAGCTCTGTCCTGCAGCCATGGGAGGCTCCATCCTGCCTGAAGCATTCCTGGCTCCATTGCTTTTCCATAGTTGAGTGGTCTCCCTTGCCAAGTGTTGCATTTATGGGGAGACAACTCCTCCTCAGGGCAGCCAGAGTTGGCTGCAGCCTCACTATTCACAGGAGCTGTGCAGTTTGGAGCACAACTCCATGACAAATGAGTTGCTCCTGCTTTTCCAGTGCCTTCTCCTCCCATGCTGGATTGGCAGGAGCCTTGGGGGGCTCCTCCCTGGGCTTTGTGGTTTAGTTCCTTTCAAGTGGATTAAGCAGGACATGTTGCTCCGAGGAGAATGGAGCAGGACAACTCTGCCTAGTGAGAACATGAGGCAAATCGTTCCCAGAAAAGCTTGGGGCAGGGAATGCTGAGGATGGAGTTGGCATTCCACAGCCCCCACTGGCAGGAGCTGGATGTTCTCCATGGCTGCAGGAAGGCGGAGGCACGGAGAATCCCTTCGCTCTGGAAAAACCTGAGCATCACTCTCTGGCTGTGCCTTGGATGCAGGAGGGAGTGATTACTGCCTGGACATTCCATTCCCTCTGGTGCATGCCCAGGAGAGCAGGACTGAGCATCCTTCAGTGGTACAAGGGGCACCATCCCCTCATCAGGCTCTGAGCTGCTCAGAATTCCCCTTCCCAACATCCTGCTGCTCCCTGTATCAGGGGAATGCATGGAAAAGAGATACAGACCCCAAGGCTTTGGATAACCCTCTTGCCCTCTGAACACCCAGGCTTGAAGCATCTCTCACCCACGGTGCTCCCTCCAAACCTCTGTCCTGCTCCTTCCTCACATCCTTGGGACGAACAGCCCCTGGGAGCCAATCCAGCGGCCGGGAGTGCCCAGAAGCATGGAATGTGCCGTGTTTTCCAGGAGCAGCTCTCTCCGCGCCGGTGGAAGGATGCAGGAAAATCCTGTCGGGTGTTTGCCGCCACCTCGGTCCTCACCCAGCGCTCCTGCCCAGGGAGTTCACAGCCCAGCGAGGCAAATGCCCAGGGATTGTCCACATCCAAATCAGGGACTTTTCAGCCGTTTCCACGGGCTGTGCCTGCAGCCAGACCTGTCCTGGCTCGGGGAGCGCTCGGGGCTCCCGGGGATGCTCGTCCCGCGGGCACCGGGAGGGCTGCAGGTTCTCCTGGGGCTCCTGCCCCCCTGACAGGAGCTCACGTCTGCCCAGCTCTGCCTTCCTCCGGGAGCGGTGGAAGCTGCTGCCTCCAGCGCTGGCACCGCGGGGAATGCTGAGAGTGCAGCCCGAAGCACATCGGGGGAGGCTGTGCTGTCAGCGCTGTGCTGGCACCGCTGTCTGTCCTGTCTGTCGTTCCTGTCCTGCCTGTGCTGTCCTGTCTGGTACATACCCAGGATGGAGCAATTCCTGCCTGGAAGTTCCCTCTGGTACATGCCCAGGAGAGCAGGAGGGAGTGATTCCTGCATGTCCTGTCTGTGCTGTCACCACTGTCTTCTCTGTCCTGCCTGTCACCCCTGTCCTGTCTGTGCCATCTGTCCTGCATGTCCTGCCTGTCCTGTCTGTCACCCCTGCCCTGTCTGTGCTGTCTGCCCTGCCTTTTCTGCCTGTGCTGCCTGTCCTGCTGGTGACATATCTAGCTGAAGGCTG